GCTGTGGTGGTGGTGGTGCCGTGGTGGCTGTGGTGGTGTCATAGTGTTGGTGGTGCCGTAGTGGTGGTGGTGCCGTGGTGGGGTGGTGGTGGTGGTGTCTTAGTGTTGGTGGTGCCGTAGTGGTGGTGGTGCCGTGGTGCCGTAGTGGTGGTGGTGGTGTCATAGTGTTGGTGGTGCCGTGGTGGTGGTGGTGGTGTCGTCAGTGTTGGTGGTGCCGTGGTGCCGTGGTGGTGGTGTCATGTTGGTGGTGCCGTAGTGGTGGTGGTGTCGTGGTGCCGTGGTGGTGGTGGTGCGTGTGGTGGTGGTGTCATAGTGTTGGTGCCGTAGTGGTGGTGTGTTGGTGGTGGTGGTGTCATAGTGTTGGTGGTGCCGTAGTGGTGGTGGTGCCGTGGTGGTGGTGGTGGTGCCGTGGTGGTGGTGGTGGTGTCATAGTGTTGGTGGTGCCGTGGTGGTGGTGGTGGTGGCATAGTGTTGGTGGTGCCGTGGTGCCGTGGTGGTGGTGGTGGTGTCTAGTGTTGGGTGGTGCCGTAGTGGTGGTGGTGCCGTGGTGCGTAGTGGTGGTGGTGCCGTAGTGGTGGTGGTGTCATAGTGTTGGTGTGCGCCGTGGTGGTGGTGCCGTAGTGGTGGTGGTGCCGTAGTGGTGGTGGTGCCGTAGTGGTGGTGGTGCCGTAGTTGGTGGTGCCGTGGTGGTGGTGTCATAGTGTTGGTGGTGCCGTAGTGGTGGTGGTGCGTGGTGGTGGTGGTGGTGCCGTGGTGGTGGTGGTGGTGTCATAGTGGTGGTGGTGTCATAGTGTTGGTGGTGTCATAGTGTTGGTGGTGCCGTAGTGGTGGTGGTGCCGTGGTGGTGGTGGTGCCGTGGTGGTGGTGGTGGTGTCATAGTGGTGGTGGTGTCATAGTGTTGGTGGTGCCGTAGTGGTGGTGGTGGTGCTGCGTGGTAGTGGTGGTGCCGTGGTGGTGGTGTCTGAGTTTGGTGGTGTCATAGTGGTGGTGGTGTCATAGTGTTGGTGGTGTCATAGTGGTGGTGGTGTCGCAGGTGTTGGTGGTGTCATAGTGGTGGTGGTGTCATAGTGTTGGTGGTGCCGTAGTGGTGATGGTGCCGTTGTGGTGTTGGTTGGTGGTGCCGTGGTGGTGGTGGTGCCGTGGTGGTGGTGGTGGTGGTGCCGTAGTGGTGGTGGTGCCGTGGTGGTGGTGGTGGTGGTGTCATAGTGGTGGTGGTGCCGTAGTGGTGGTGGTGTCGTAGTGGCGGTGGTGCCGTGGTGGTGGTGGTGCCGTGGTGGTGGTGGTGGTGCCGTGGTGGTGGTGGTGGTGCCGTGGTGGTGGTGGTGGTGTCATAGTGGTGGTGGTGTCATAGTGTTGGTGGTGCCATAGTGGTGATGGTGCCGTTGTGGTGTTGGTTGGTGGTGGTGGAACTTCTCTTCTCTATCACCATCACCACCATCACTGCTACTATCATCACCACCATCACTACCACTACTACTACTACCATCACTACTACCACTACCACCACTCCACTACCACCACTACTACCACCTTCTACCACCACATCCTGCCTGTCTCAACCAGTTACAGGGAGTAAGTAGACACACACACACACACACACACACACACACACACACACACACTAGAATAATGGTAAAATAAACAGAAATAGACAGACACTTCAGACAGACAGACAGACAGACAGACAGACAGACAGACAAATAAAATAATATATCCAATAAAAAACTAAAGACCTATAATAAAAAAATAAAAAATAAAAAAAAATAAAATAAAATACCAAAATTCTTAAAAAAACAATAACAATAATACGATAACAAATCCAAAATACAAAAATAAACGAGAACATTATATACACCCACTGTGGACACGTTAGAGACACTGTATATGTTGTATTAACTTGTATGATAAGAGAATATAAGCTACCGTGTTTACATAATGACGTCATAGGTTGTGTTTACTTTCATTGGCCAGCATCTCTTGACCAGCCAGCCAATCAGCAGTTCAGTATGCAGAATAGATCGCTTTAACAATGGTGATTTGGGTTTTAATGGGTTATTTCGTTTAATTCGTTTTAATTCGTTTTATTTTGGTTTAGTTTTATATGTAAAAAAAAAATTGTGATGTTAAGAAGATTTTGGGATATTTTTGAGTCAATATGATTTTAGTGTATTTGTTGAAGTGTTGAGAAGGTGTATGAGTGTATGGTTAGTTGTTATAAACATACACACATATATACTTACATACATATACATACACACAATTCCCAACACCCCCAACACTCCTGCTAAACACAACCCGACACACACACACACACACACACACACACACACACACAGCTATCGGCTTTATGATCCAATTAATGTAATGTTCACTAATGTTTCAATATGCTAACAGAGGCATGACCTTTGACCGGGCCGTGGAAGATAGCGAGGCTGGGGTCAGGTGGTCACCATAATGTGTTGCAGTGGCGTTATGGTCTTTTGATTGACACTATAAACTCTGTGTGTGTGTGTGTGTGTGTGTGTGTGTGTGTGTGTGTGTGTGTGTGTTGGCGTAAAAATAGAACTTCTTGTTACAAAATATCATGAAACTTGGTTGTGAGAGAGAGAGAGAGAGAGAGAGAGAGAGAGGCTGATAAAATAATAATTAAATAGATAAATAAAATCGGTAATAGAAATAAAAATAAGGAAAATAAGATGACTAAAATTAACATACAAATATCAATAATTAAAATACTATAAATGATAAGTTGTTGTAGGTAATTATAGACAGTTAATAAGGGTAGTTGAGGTAGCCTGAATTATTATAGGCAGGTCAGGACTGGGGTCAAATTATTGTAGCGGTTTTTAATGAGGTTATTTAACAAGAGAAAATATATTAGCGGTAATAAATTTACGTCTAACTGGACTATTTTTTTTTTGAGAGACTTATATACACGTCATCTTTGATACATTACTAAATTTGTTCCGCCAAATAAATTGAGATTTAGTCACAGTTTTGGAGAGGCCATGGTATGTGTGGCCTCTACCTGCCACCCACCCTCAACCCACCCTCAACCCACCTTCTACCTTAACCCCTCCCCCCTCTCTACATAAAAGAAATTTAGCTTAGTACTATCCCACCCAATCCTGGCCCATCTAGCCCACCCTCTCTCACCCAGACAATTCGGCCTAGTAACATCTGCCACCCCACAACCACCCACCACCACCCACATCCACCACCCACAACCACCCACATCCACCACCTACAACAACCACCCACAACCACCACCCACCACCACCACCCACAACTACCACCCACAACCACCACCCCAGCCACCCCACAACCTACAACAACCACCCACACCAACACCCACAACCACCACCCACCACTCCCACCACCCACACTCCCACCACAACCACCCACCAACCAACCACATCCACCACACAACAACCACCCACACCAACACCCACAACAACCACCCACAACAACCACCACAAACCATAACTAAACTATCATCCGTCTTCACGTCCAGATGTCCCATTAACTCTCCCCCTCCGTGTCCCAGGTGTCCAATAACCTCCCCTCCGTGTCCCAGATGTCCCAATAACTCTCCCCTCCGTGTCCCAGATGTCCCACTCCCCTCAGATCTCCGTGTCCAGGTGTCCCAGAGTGATCATCAGACGGTGAGGTTGAGGAAGGACCCTGGAGGCCGGTGGGAGGTACAAGTGTGAGGTATTGACGGAGGCCCCACTCTTCCAGCACCCTTGTGAGGTCAGCTGCCATGCATGTTGTGGGTGAGTACTGAAGGAAAGGGGCGGGAAAGGGGGCGGGAAAGGGGAGGGAAAGGAGGGAAAGGGGGGGGGAGGGAAAGGAGGGGAAAGGGGGGAGGGAAAGGAGGGGAAAGGGGGAGGAAAGGAGGGGAAAGGGGGAGGGAAAGAAAGGGAAAGAGGGGAGGGGAAAGGGGGAAAGAGGGGGAGGGAAAGGAGGGGAAAGGGGAAGGGAAAAGGAAGGGAAAGGGGAGGAAAAAGGAGGGGAAAGGGGAGGGAAAGGAAGGGAAAGGGGGGGAGGGAAGGAAGGAAAGGGGGGAAGGGAAAGGGGAGGGAAAGGAAGGCAAAGAGGGGAGGGAAAGGGGGGAAAGAGGGGGAGGGAAAGGAAGGGACAGGGGGAAGGGGACAGGAAAGGGAAAGGAACTTGGAGTAAGAGAGGAAGGAGGAAGATAGAAGAGATAAGGAGGGCATGAAGAAGGAGGGAAAAAACAGAATGAAAAAAGGAAGAGAGGGAAGGAAAGGAGGGATAGGAGAGAGAGGGGAAAGGAGAGATAAGAAGGAAAGGAAGAGAGGGATAGGGAGTGAGAGTGAGGAAGGAAAGATAAGGATAGGATGGAGGGGATTGAGTGAGGGGAAAACAGACAGAATGAGAGAAAAAACAGACAGAATGAGAGAAAACAGACAGAGGAGGAGAGAAGACAGAATGAGAGGAAACAGAGAAAGAGAGGAAAAACAGAGAAGTAGAAAACAGACAGAATGAGAGAAAACAGACAGAAAGTGAGAGAAACAGACAGAATGAGAGAAAAACAGACAGAGAGGAGAGAAAACAGACAGAAAGAGAGAAAACAGACAGAAAGTGAGGAGAAACAGACAGAAAGTGAGAGAAACAGAGAAAGAGAGAGAAAAACAGACAGAATCCTCCCCCCACCTCTACAAAACCAGAGTAAGGGGGTTTTTCTCCTATGATTATTAAACAGTTCTAATCATCAACACATTATGAACACTCATCGGTTATGCAAACTCATTTAGGACCAGAAATGAGGCGTTAAATAAAGCTTCACCATTTATAAATATTTGAGTCAAACAAAACATTAAAAAAAAAATTAATCTCATATTTATAATACTCGAAAAAAATTGATATATATTCTCTGATAATATTTCTCTTTAGAAGTTACGATTATCTATCTGTCTCTGTCTGTCTGTTTCTGTGTGTGTCTGTTGTTTCTGTCTGTTCGTCTGTCTGTCTGTATGTGTCTGTTTGTCTGTCTGTTTCTGTGTGTCTGTCTGTCTGTGTCTGTCTGTCTGTCTGTGTCTGTCTGTGTGTCTGTTTCTGTGTGTCTGTCTGTCTGTGTCTGTCTGTGTGTCTGTTTCTGTGTGTCTGTCTGTCTGTGTCTGTCTGTGTGTCTGTTTCTGTGTGTCTGTCTGTCTGTGTTCGTTCATTCTGTGTTCTGTTCGTCTGTCTGTCTGTTTCTGTGTGTCTGTCTGTCTGTGTCTGTCTGTGTGTCTGTTTCTGTGTGTCTGTCTGTCTGTCTGTCTGTTTCTGTGTGTCTGTCTGTCTGTGTCTGTCTGTCTGTCTGTGTCTGTCTGTGTGTCTGTTTCTGTGTGTCTGTCTGTCTGTGTCTGTCTGTGTGTCTGTCTGTGTGTCTGTCTGTTTCTGTGTGTCTGTCTATCTGTCTGTCTCTGTCCGCCTTTCTGTCTGTCTGTCTCAGGTTACCATACAAATTCTCTCTCCATATATTCCGTTAGATGGGGTTTCACTTCGGCCACAAACCCTCTATATAACGGACTTTCCTCTATGTCCGTTAAAAGAGGTATCACATCAAAAACCCTCTATATAACGGACTCCCCTCCCTATAGTCCGTTAAATAGAGGTATCACCTAAATAAACTCTATATAACGGACTTTCTTCCCTATAGTCCGTTAAATAGAGGCTTCACATAAAAAACCCCTTTATATAACGGATTCCCCTCCCTATAGTCCGTTAAATAGAGTTATCACCTAAATAAACTCTATATAACGGACTTCATCCCATATAGTCCGTTAAATAGAGGTATTACATCAAAAAACCTCTATATAACGAACTTCCATCCCCATATAGTCTGTTAAATAGAGGTATCACCTAAATAAACTCTATATAACGGACTTCCTTCCCTATAGTCCGTTAAATAGAGGCTTCATACAAAAACCCCTCTATATAACGGACTCCCCTCCCAATAGTCTGTTAAATAGAGGTATCACTGTATTTAATCATCTCACCCACAGAGCTGCCCCAAGGGTCGCCACAGGTCACAGGTGGAGAGATTGAGTACAGGCTGGGTGACATGGTGAACCTCACCTGTATTGCCCCCAGGTCCATACCCCCAGCTACCCTCATCTGGTACATCAACGACCAGGAAGTAAGTGACCTGACCTGAAGTTACCTCCCTCTACAGGTTCATATTAAGAGTTAATTTGACCTGGTATATCATTGACCTGGAGGGAGATGACCTGTTTTTTCTTCCTTTACATCACTTCCTCCCAGGTCTATACCCTCAGTTATCTTGACCTGAAGAATCAATGACCTGGAAATAAGTGACCTGCCTCCCCCCCCCCTCTCTCACAGGTCAATTTCCAGGTCAGAGTAATAGTTTAATCTTAAATGAATTACAATGAAATTTTACAAGAGCTTTAGGTTTCGTCCCTCTCCTAACACTCTGTAATGTTGAAGTAACGAGGATTTTTTTTCATATTGAATAAAAAAAAAAGAAGTTCAAGATGTGGTTTTAAGTTAGTAATATTAATATGTTAAATGGATGTCAGTGTTGACGTCGGTGTGAATCTAAGTAAGTCTCTCCATAATTTATTAGTGAATCTCTGTTTGCTTGAGTTTTCACCACCGTGTGTCTGATTTACATACACAGTACACACACACATACACAGTACACACACACATACATACACCTCCTTTTGGGGAAGTACTAGTGTCTAACAGGTCGCTATTCTCTCTCCCTCTCCCTCCTGACGCAGGCGCCGCAGGACTACCTGATAAAGTACCAGGTGCACGCGGACCAAAGTGGCCGGTTTGAGGCCAGGCTGGGCATACAGTTCAGGGCGGAGCGGTGGCACTTCATCAACGACCGCGTCACGCTGCGCTGCGCCGCCTCCATCCACCGCCTCTACCAGAAGGAGGTTCACCACAGCGGTATTGTGGTCCACCCGCTGGTCCCCGCCCTCCTGGAGGACCAGACCACAGGTGGGTGTAGACCACAGGTAGAGTAAGACCAGACCAGAAATAGGTCTCACTTACCATCACCAACCTTTTCCTCTTGTGTTGTTGAAGATATTGATAAACATTGTGAGTAAACATTATAACATCACTGACTTTCCTCTTCAGGTAATGTTGTATATTTTCTTCCCAGGTGTCGTGTCTTCTTCATTAACCTGTTTATTTTCTTCCTCTCCTGCAGGTGTGGCAGCAGGTGTGAACGTGAGACAGGTTATGATGTTGACTGCTTCCTCCCTTCTGCTGCTACTCTGATCGTTCCCTCCCCCAGCCTCATGTTCGTCGTCTACTGCTACTGCTGTTTTGGTGCCCCTACCCCTACTGCTGCAGCCCCAGCCATCGTCTACTACTACTACAGGCGTCTACTACTGCTACAGGCGTCTCCTCCTCGTATCCCGATGTTACCTGTTGCTTCTAGATCTACTTCATCCTCCTCCTCCTCCTTCTTCTTCTTTCCCTCATCCGACAGCTTAATCTTCCCCCAACCCTCCCTCCTGCAGCGCCCTCCGGAACACTTTCAGGATACTGCGGTAGTCCTCCTATACAGTAGTCGTTCTTCTTCAGTATACAGTAAACCCTCTCAATACCGGACTAATTTATGTAAGCCCTGTCCATTATTGGGATGATTTTGTTATTGAAAAGTCCGCTATTGAGAGAGTTTACTGTATCCTTTAATTAATTGAGAATTTCCGTTATTGAGAGGGTTTATTGTTTTTTTTTGGGGGTGATTGGTGACTGACAGGAGGTATTCGTTATCTATCTACCTGTCTGTCTATCTACCTATCTGTCTATCTACCTGTCTGTCTATCTACCTGTCTCTCTGTCTACCTCTCTGTCTTCCTCTTCTTCCTCATCCTCCTCTTATCTATCCTCCTCTTTCCCCTCTCTTTTTGTTCTTTAATTATTCTTTTTCGTTGTAAGGAAGAGGAAGAAGTTGATGGAGGATGGATAAAGGAAGGTGAATAAGGAATAGGTAGGAAGGGGAGGAGAAGGAAGAGGGAAATAGGGAGTTTCTTACTCAATTGTACAAGAGTAATAAAATGGAAGAGGAGGAAAATAAGTAGAGGAAAAATAGGAGGAGGAGGAGAACAAAGAGGAGGCAGGTGTTGGCTGGTGGCTCGATATGTGTACACTGTATCGCCTGGTGGAGCTTCTGTTGATCACACGGACCTATACCTCTCTTACGGCTCATTGACATCCTATAGTGGCTGCCGCTTCTCTTGCCTCTCACTCTCGTTCTCAATCTCGGCAAAAAGCTTCACCTCTCCCCCCCTCCTCTCACCCCCCTCCCCCCCCAGAAGTCCCCTCCAAAACCTAAGGGAGATGCCTACCCCAATACCCCCGGAACCTCCTTTGGCTGCGCTTTTCGATCGTCTGTTGTTTCTCGTCGCCATGCGCATCATGACGTCACACTCGAGCTTAAGAGTCCTGTAGATGATTTTACTTGTGAAACACATTGGTTGTTTTTCTTCGGCCCCAGCGTAACTTAGAGCAATGAGTAGTCCAAGTGTTTTTTCATATCACAGGAACTTGTAGTTATAGGCTTGTATCTCTTCTCTGTTGTGGGTTGTATCTCAGCTAACAGACTGTATCTGTTATAGACTGTATCCCTCTACAACTGCTACAATCACAATGTAGACTGTTATCTCTTCTAATAGATACCTAATATTTCTCTCTATCTCTTGAACAACACACTCATAAGACCGTCATCTCTCCCTATCTCCCCCTCACAGCCACACTCCGGGCTCCCTGGCGGATGGTGTCCTCAGTCACGGGAGTGTAAGCGACCTCTTCCATTATTTACATGTGGTGTCTCAGCCCAGACGTCTCAACCCACCACCCACGGTCACTTGAGCTCCCCCTCAGGACCAGATAATGTGCTATAGAACCTGTTAGCTTCCCAGGGGGGCTTTTGTGTGGGAGTCCCTCACTGTATACAAGAGATAAAGGTGTTGATAACGTAAATATATATCCAAGTACACTGTGGTCTAGAGTCCCGACGTTCATCTGGCAATACTTGAAGCCGCAGAGTAACTTTCAGGTGTCATGTTGTGGTTTGTTTTGGATAACGCGTTGTTTACTTTTTGTTGTCGTCGAGGATTTAACTCATGGTCTAGTAGGGCCCCCCAGGCTCTGTACCCTCGTGAGGTAGGCATCAGGTCCTTGAGAGAGTTCCTTGTGCTCTGTCGTTGATGTCGTAGCTTCTCTCTCTCTCTCTCTTCTCTCTCTTTCTTTCTCTCTCTATGTCTTTTTTCTTTTCGTGTACAGTATTTCCCTTTCCTTATTGGTTGATCGAGATATATTGGGCGGAGCTCTCTCAGTGACCTACCATGCCTCTCTCATGTGACTGGGTAATCAAAACACAACGGGCGGAGTTATCTCAGTGCCTCACGATACCTTCTTCACATGAATGGTTGACCAGAGGAAAATGGGAGGAGCCTTCCCAGTGAGTTGCGATGCTTCCTTCTCCCATTGGATGATCACAATACAATGGGCGGAGACTATAATAAAGTGGGAGGAGCCTTCTGAATGAATCTTGGTGCTCCCTACTCTGATTGGCTCACATGAGACTAGTGGGCGGAGCCTTCATTATAATTACACAATGCTCCCTTCTCTGATTGGTTAACCAGAGAATATTAGGTGGAACTTTCTCGATGTTCTCACGGAATTCTTAACCAACGAAATTTTTGTTTGGTTCTATTGAATAAATCATCTATACTTCCACCCTTATCTGGTCTAGTATACATACATAACTATACAGTATATATATATATATATATATAAGAGAATTGTTCAACACACTATATAATGTATTATGTGTAAATATTATATGTACGGTGGTAAATAGAGAGATATACAGATGTCTTTATTTTACATACATACATACATACATACATACATACATACATACATACATACATACATATACATACATACATACATACATACAGTACATACATACATACATACATACATACATACATACATATACATACATACATACATACATACAGTACATACATACATACATACATACATACATACATACATACATACATACATACATACATACACAATATAGACGCAGGGAAATAATCTAAAAAATTAACATTATAACCATAGATAATAAGTATTCATAATATTGATCAAGACAACAAAGGTGATACGTGTAGTGAACTTGTCCTATTCCAGTGTACATTATGACGTAGGGACAGGTCATGTTATTTTGTCCTTAATAATTTAAAAGTAGTTATATGTAGTGAAGATTTATTGTGGTGCCCCCCCCCCTCCCTTCCTTCCTTCCTTTTGAGACCTAATTGGCATAGATCTTAAGACATAAACAATCTTGTAAACAATAAACAATAAAAAACATACTAACTTGAGCCTTATGCGAAATAATTTACAATCCTGGCTGCTGATTGGTCAAGAGATCACTAAAGTTTAATGCTGATTGGCTACGATATGTGGACTAGAGAACCTATAGTAGATCTATCCTGGTTTCTGATTGGCCTGGATATACTTTAACTTAGGTCCTGATTGGTTATAATATGTGGAATAGAGTAACTGAATCCTGGCTGCTGATTGGCCTAGAGATCCCAAAACACCAGATATTGATTGGCTGCGGCAGAGTAACCAATCAGAATGAAGATAACTATTTGGCATGAAGCTTGAGAGGTGTATGAGAGTGTATGATCACTGTTGTAGTATGTTCGAGCCCTAATACAAGGCTGTATACTGAGACTGTGTTTTATTTATCTTTAATACACCACTGAGAAATGCACTATACACACCTGGGATAAATTCATACACACCTGGTCTATATACACACACACCTGGGCTATACACACACACCTGGTCTATACACACACACACACACACACATACAAAATAATGATGTACTGATCCTATGTATTATTTGACCTTCATATACACACCTGAAACACCTGGTATACACATCTGGGTTAAGTACATACGGTGTAAGAACAAGGCAAAGTCCACCTGGTGAGCTAATTATCAGGTAGGTCAACGTAACGTGGTAATTAAACATGCAAGTAATTTTTTTTTCTAATCTAACAAGCAATATAAGTCGTGATTTTCTTTACATGCTGAGACAAATATTTCCTTCCTGTAATTAGAATGGTATTTATTTTTATTATTATTATTATTATTATTATTATTATTATTATTATTATTATTATTATTGTTGTTTTTTATTTTTGTAGCTTTATGTCTAAGAAAAATGGAATTGATTTTAACAGGAAAATATTCTTTACAATAAAACAATAATTCATATACATATGTGTGTGCGTACGTTTCTGTGTATGTGTGTATGTCCATGTATGTATTTGTGTGTGTATGTGTGGGTATAATCCTTCAGAATACCCAAATCAATATTCTGTGTATTTTACAATTAAAGATCAAACACACAAGACAAAACTTTTCCACAACCTGACATTTAAAATTTTCTCAGAACTTCACAAAACACTCAATAAAAAGTACGTTTAAAAAAGTTCCCCCAAATCAGTATTTACCTGTGCTATAATTAAGAGAAGGCCAGTTAAAGGGGTGGATTTAACTCTTTCACTTCTGGCGACTAGTTTTAATATTTTATTTGGTTAGGTTAGGTTAGATAAATGGTTGCCCCTAGTGTAACGAGGATGGCCGGCCCAAGGGCCACCTAGGTGTGAATTTGTTTAAGGTGTAGAAGCTGTCGTCAACATAACAACCACACCCTGAGTTAACGAGCTGCATGACCCAGTGTCAAGGAATAGTCCGAGAAGACCGGACAACTCCACTGGCTAACCATTACCCTGGAACACGATCTGCAAATCGATTAACTTCCAGGTTTCCAACTACTGCTGGGCAGACACAGGCAAATGGCGTAAAGAAACTTGCCCATAGTTTCACTCTGACCAGGAATCGAACCCGGGTCCGCTCGTTTGTGAGGCGAGCATGCTGACCATTACACCACACACACAGGACAAATGACGTTAATAATAATAAGCAAAAAATAACAAAATATTAAAATTCGAAAACGTAAAAGAACATCACACGAAAAGCTGAAGGAATGACGTAACTAATTAATTACCCAGTGATTACTTACTGTACTTCACCGTAATTACATTCAATTCTAATTAATTAATATCTATCACTTCTTTTATTACACCTACGACAATTAGGAGTTTATAAGCAGTTGTTGTCACTAGTATAAACATATCTAGTGTTGACAAAACGCCTCTGCACAAAACAATGTCGTGATGTCATGCGCACCGAGTTGTTATTGTCCGCAGTCTCTTTATTTACTGTACATCTGTTTCCCATATTTTTACGTATCTATTTTTTCTTTTTAGTTCGGTTTGTTGGAGTCTGTAAATCTATGCGTAGTTTCCACTTTTGTTTTAGAGGTTAACTTTGATTAACATAATAGTGTGAACTGTTGTTTTAAAAGAAGACTTGAATAGTTATTGTAATGTAGTGATGACGTCATT